AAAAACCAACACAAAAAAAAAAAAAAAAAGAAAAGAAAGGCATTGAGTCCAGTTACGTGAGAAGCAGGGCTGTCTGGTGGAGAAAAGGCAGGGAAGATGGACGGACTAGGAAGGAGGAGGCAGAGAAGTGGGATTCGCTGTGATGGAACGAGGAAGAAAGGGAGCCGTGGAAGTTGGGAGCCCAGAAGAGAGCACGTGGGAAACAGTGTGGCATGCAAGCGGACAATTGCAGAGGTGGTCGTGTTGAGGGGCAGCACGGTGTGAGTAATGAATCTCACCCTTGAGTCTTACAGGGACCACCTTTTCTCTGGCGGCCTCTGGAACTTGCCTAACTCGCAGAAAGTGAGTGCGGCGGAATCCCCTGGGACCCCTACTTTCATGAAAGTGAAGAGCAGAATGTGGACTAGGATGGGAGCCACATCTCGCCCCTACTTGGTATCCTGGATTTGACTCTCAGAAGCAGGAGAGCACGGGCCCAGCTGGGTTCTGGGCTAGGACAGAATTGACTCATTAACCAACTACCGTGCCCATCCGCTAGCCCTGAGCAGGGCTGTTTGCTTTGGTGGATTAGAAGGCCCAGGGGATGTTTGCCGAGTACTCGTGAGGGTGCCTGTTCTGGTTCTGCCTCGGCATGGCAGCCCTCTCTGCTCCCCTAATGGGCCCAGTGCCCTGATGGCACTCACCCTCTCTCCACTCTAAGGAATGTGAAACAGCTATTCTGAAATGAAGGGTCACTCTCCAAGCCATTTCCAGATGAATGTTCCAGTTGGGAAAACAACCACTTCTGTGAGGAGCACGGCCATTCTCCTCAGGAACCATATATTGGATTGCAGAGGATATGTGCACTTGAGAGAGCAAGAGACAGTGCACGCGCGTGAGAGAGCAAGAGACAGTGCACACGCGTGAGCGAGTGCGTGTGAGTGAGTGAGCATCCCCCAGTGGAACATGGTCATGCTGCAATCCTTTTCCCTCCCTTTCTCTTTCCCATCGGGATTTTGGGCACGTATGTGCACGTTTCTCCCCACTCCGCCTTTATCCCCCAAGCTACCAGGAGCCGGAATTCAAACCGTGGTCAGCCATGTGGGATCTGGCTCCCTTAACTGCTGAGCTACAGTTGGCCCAGCCATACTTAGGAGCTCAAGCCACTTCCTGGTGAGTCCATCTGTCACACACCGAGGGGGTCAGCTTAGCATTTCTTACTGATCCAGAGGCCAGTGACAGGCAATAACCACCAGAAGGCCCTCCTGGCCTGTCTCTAGAACACATCTAAGGCTTGTGCATGTGGGAATAAAATTAAAAAACTGTCCCTTGGATGGCCTTCCAAGGGGCCGGAATTATGTACATCCAACAAAGAGGGAAGCAGCGTCCAAGTCCAAGCAGGGCAACTGACACAGCTTGGAGGGCAGTTCTAGGCATGTCCTCCATCCCCCGCCCATCTTCACTATATTTTTTGGAGACACTTCAAACAGAATCAGAGCATTCTTAGAAAGCATTGTCTTCAAGCTGTGCCCCCATGGTTTGAAATGGAAGCTTTGAATACATCTAATGTCAGGAGGAAAAATGCTATGTTGCATCATAACACAGTCTTCTGAGTATTTGCTCTTGCATTGCTTCTGCTTTCTATTCCATTTTGCATTTATTATTCTGTTTGTGTAGAAGCGAAAGCCACTTTGTCTTCCTGATTTTGTCCTGATATGATATTTATAGTTTAGCCCTAATGCCTGGCCATAAACTCCTAGAAGTCTCCAAAGCTAACCAGGCTGTCTGTCCTGCTTTGCATTGAAAGGCCCATCTGTGGAAGGGACCCTTCTCTCTAGAACAAGTCTTATCTGGGCCCAGTTTGGGGCTAGAGGTGTTGTCCCGCGGAGGAGGAAAAGTGCTCCCGGTGATTTGAGGTTCTGCGTGGCCACAGCAGGGAGTGTGCTTGGAGCTTCAGGCCAAGGTGGAGGAACCCTCTGCAGAGGCTTTCCCTTTGGTGAGGGAAAGGGTCCTGGCCATGCCCTGCTCCGTCCTAAGAACCACCACCCAGCCTGGTTCTGGGAAGGACTGAGGAGTGGTCCCTGTCGCTGTTCCCCAGGTTATTTGCAATCAGCATTTTTTTTTTTTTTGGAGAGGTTTTCGCTATAGGGTGTGTGCGCTCTCCAGACAGACAGAGACATAGAGACAGAAAGCGAGAAATGACCCCCCAGGGGGGATGGTCACGCCACAATCCCTTCTCCTCTCGGGATCTTGGGCACGCACGCACACGCGCCTGGCGTGAGTTTTAAGCCACCGGGTCCGGGACGCGAACCGTGGTCGACTACGTGGGAGTCCAGTGACATAGCCATTACGCTAACTGCTGGTTCCCTGCAATCAGCATTTTTGGAGTAGCCTTGCTTCTGCGCTTGGGCTGTTAGGAAAGGTGCAGTTCATTAAACCTTGCCGGAGGTGGGTGTGTAATGCTTGGGCAAGGATCAATTAAAACCAAAACCCCCAAGGGTTCCAAAGTCCTAAGTCTACTATGCAAAGCACATTAGTTCGAAACTTGCAGGTAACATTGGCAGAAAACCCCAAAACAAGCTGTTTGAAATCACTGCCTGTGGAACAGGAAACTGCTCTGGGAGGGGCAGGGGAAAGGGGCAGTCACTGTTCCTTACAAGTCCTCCTGCATGATTTGATTCTGTAACCATGGGAACATCAGCTTTCAGGGGAAGAGGGTGAAAACGATCTTAGGTTCAGCATCCTCCTGAGCACAAGCCAGACGCCCAGCACTGTGTAAGAAAGCGAGGGAGAATGCACGCGTGGGCCTGGATCCTCATCCACAGACCCAGGGTGCTCACGGATGGCCCAGCTCTTAGAAAATGGATGATCTGGGCCCCGTCTTTCCAACTAAGATGGGGAAAACCTAGGGAAGGTACAGCCAGAACAAAGACTGAAGACTGGGAAAAGAGCCCCAGGAAGAAATGAGTTCAGAAAAACCCGAAACACAGTTGATAGGGACTGAAGGCGTGAGGTCGGCTACGCGAGGGCTCCTGTGAGGCTACGAGATGGCGGGCTGTGGTCCAGGACTGAGGTCCAGGTGGATCATCCATTTGAAGTGAAAGAGCTCTCATGCCCAGTGCATCTTCAGAGATTGTCCTGATTCCCTTTACTAGGAATGGGGTATGCACGCTTTTGCAGGAAATTGAGGACGGGACTGACTGACTCAGGGAGGGCCCTCGCAGCCCCCAGATGTCACAGGACTTCTTCCCAGGAGGTAAAATGGCTGCATGTACTGACGCGGAGAAGAGAAATGTTGAAACAAATGCGAGCGAGTAAGGAGCAGTGTAGAAATCAGGATGCAATTTGAACGGCGTCTGGACCAAAAGCTTGTCCCTCCTCTTCCTGGCATGCCTTTCTCAGGGGTGAATCGTCTCCTCCCGTGTCCTCTTTCTCCCTGGTGTGCCACCCCCAGCCTGGCTCCCCTCCGCTCCTTTATACACACCCCTGCCTGTCCCCCCTCTTCCCCCAGGTCAAAACCTCCCATAGGGGCTGGCTCTGTGGAGGAGTGGTAATTCATTGCTCAAAAGCAGCTGGATCCCACATGGTGACCATGGTTTGATTCCCTGGACTGGTCCGCCTGAAACACGCGAGGCACCTGTGTGAGTGCCCAAGACCCAGTGGGTTGGAGGACTGAAGAAGGGGATCTCTGTGTGACCAGACCCTGGGGAGGGTGCATGTCACTTCCAGGTGTGTGTGCACATAATCTATTATGCATTAAATTAAAAAAAATGTATTTAAAAAACTTCCATGGATTCCCTTCTGAGAGTGGCCAGAGCTGGAACCCCTCAGCTTTAGACCCAAAGTTCCCAACCTACGAGCACAACTTACGGCTCCTCTCTAGGGCAGGCCCGGCCACGGCTTCCACGATACACCTGGCACCCGGTACCTGTGCACTCCTGCCTTCCCTGGGTCTGTCTGCCCGAAACCTTTCTTTCACCTTCCTTTCTTTCACCTCTTCACCCTCAGTCCCTTGAAGCCCAGCTCTAATTCCAAAAAGCTTCCTTGGCTACCCCAGTCCACCGTGACATTTCCTTCCTTCGACTCCTCTAGGACCTCCTGCTCAGTGTGTTTCCCCGGTCCAAGGTGATATTTCCTACAGGTGTGGTACACTCTGGTTTGCCCCCTGGGGGAGGAGCTGTCTAGACAGGGGAGAATTGCTCGTGTGGCTTTGTAGGCTCTCGGAGTCTCAGTGGCCACCGCACAGGGCAGGGTTCTGTCCACGAGGCGGCTACCTGTGGTGAAAAGTGACACTGACTCAGTGTGCCTGAAAGCTCTTCAACCAAGGAGAAGAAAGATGGCGGTCCAGCAGTCACCTTGCGGGCCAGTCCCAAGCCCGAGAGCCAGCCTCTCAGAATCCTCATGGCCCAGGTTTCTTCCTCTGTCTCACTGCCTCACACACCCCCAACACATAGAACTCTACCCCCTCAGAGCCCCCTAGTGGTACATCTGGTTTAATCAATCTAGAAATATGACACGTATCAAAAATATCCCCGTCAGATTGCGATGGAGGCCGGGGCTCCATGGCTGGCTCCCAGCCAAGCAGCCGCTGTTCATGCTGGGAAGGCACAGTTTAAAAAAGGAAAGGCTTCTATAAGCTCAAAAGAATGTGCGGTGACAGTCGAGGCTAAGCACTTTCCGGCTGGGTTCACGGGGCATCTATTTTGGCGTGGGCCTCTCTGGCCTGTGCGGCGAGGAGGGAGAGGTGGAGCACGGCCCTACCTGGCTGCTGGAACATCAGCATGTTCTGCGGAGAGGTGTGCACGGGCAGCGAGCGGGTCCTCTGGACCGAGCTGTGGGTGCGGCTTGGCATGCTGTTGCTGCCCCCGGGGTTGGCGAACCAGAGGTTCTAGGGAGAACGCAGAAGTGGAGCCCGTTACATCCGACACCTGGGGTGGGGGCAGGGGGTGGGGGAGCAGAGCTGCTAGCTGGAATTCAGGAGGCAGATCTCTCATCTCAGGAGAAGTCTGCTGACTTCCCAGAACGGACACCCATCTGCATATTTACAGAGGAGGGCTCAGATTCCATTCTTCGTATTTCCGCACCCTGTTCCTGGCCCTCACGCTAACCCTCAGCCTCATCCAGACACCTCCCTCCTTCCCTACCTCCTAAACTTTCTATCCCAGTTGTTGCTTTTGCTTGTTCCCGTCACTTCTTTAAGGAAATGAAGGAGTTCTATAAATGTCTGCAAGGAAGCACTCTATTTCAGAGTTCTTCCTTGATTTTCTTTCTGAGCTGCTTACACTGTACTCCAAAGTGAGGGGGAGGACAAAGAGCCCCTCAGCTGGCAACAAGCTGACCCAACTCGGCTTGTGTATCCTAGCAGTCACTTGCCCTTGAACTGATCGGGGGCTGGGGACAGTGATCAGAAAGTGGGGCTTTCTGATACCCTGTGCTGCTTTCTCTGGGGAGCAAATCCTGTCCCTCTTGCATGGCGTGGTTTTCCTTTTTGAGCCAATCTGTTACCCTTGCATTTGTTCTTCTTCTTTTTTTTTTTGGAGAGATTTTTGCTATAGGGGGCGTGTGCTTGCCAGACAGACAGAGAGAGACATGGAGACAGAAAGCGAGAAATCACCCCTCATGGGGGATGGTCACGCCGCAATCCCTTTTCCTCCATTCTCCTCTCGGGATCTTGGGCATGCACGCACACGCGCCCGGCGTGAGTTTTAAGCCACCGGGTCCGGGATGCGAACTGCGGTCGACTACGTGGGAGTCCAGCGACATAGCCATTACGCTAACTGCTGGTTCCCACCCTTGCATTTCCAATGAGACCTTAGGTCCTCAGACACACCTGTGTCTATCCTGTCCCATGCCCAGCCTGCAGAGCCTCATGAGGCTGGAGGCACACAGGTAGTTGAAGGCACTGGACAGGGCACAGTGCAGGAGGGCTGCAGAGCTGGGGACAGAGAGGCTGTCTAAATCACACAGCAAGAGCCTCTGGGCAGCCCAGCCTTGCCTGGCTGTGACCGTGTCTCCCTCTGTTCTTGCCTCCCTCAGACTTGATCCTGTGGTTCTCCATCACTGCTGAGACCGTGACAGCGAAACTCTTTGCCATGGACAAAAAGGTAAAGAAAGCTCTTTATATGACCAGGTTTCTCTGGAAGCCAGATCTGAGAGGTGGTGAAGTCTGCTGGGGCAGGTCAAGGATCCAGGAACATTAAAAAGAGGGCTTGGGTTTCTTTCTCAAGGACTCTGTGCAGGGTTCCCAAAGCTAACATGGTCTGTGGGCCTTCCTGAGCTCTGCCATGGGGCTGCCTGTCTCCTGGAGAAATGACACCAACCTCCTGGAACCCTCTGGGCATAGGACCTCAGTTTAGTCCCCCTCTGCCTCTCCCCCCAGCTTTGGGCTCACTCGGAGGGAGGTTATGATCCTGGGCTTGGCTGCCTCCCCTCTCCTTGGGGCAGAACCAACCTGTCTTCCTTGTTTCATGATGGCGGGGTTGGCGGTGGTGTTGCGCTGGTTGGTGCTGACAAACCCACTGGTGCCCAAGAGGCCAAGGCGGGCGGAAGGGACGTTCCGAGAGGGGATCTGGTACTGGCGTGGGTTCCGTCTGCCCATGCCGCCGCCCACAGAGCCGGCCGTCGGGAGGGAGTTGGACTGCCCAAAGCCACGACTGGGAGAGCCAAGAGAAAGAACCAGAAGACCATCAGTCACTCCGCAGCCTCTCAGTGGACGCCTCCTGGGGTCTGCTCACATTTGAACAGTAATGAGGCCTAAGGGGGAGCTCTGTGCCTGCAAGGGGCTGGGCTTAAAATGGCAGCAAACCTCTGGGACAGCGTCTCATCACACACTGTCTGGGGACTTTTCCATTATTCTTTCATCCTCACAACAGCCCATGAAGTAGGCTCGCTACCCCTTTCTATCTGGAGAAGAGAGCGTGGTAATTTTGCAAAGATCACACAGCCAGCAGGGAGCAGTGCTGGAACTTGAGGCCGAAGGTGCCTCAGCACTTTCCCTCCAGCCGACAAGGACGATGATCCTGACTCAGACGCCTTTCAAGAAGTCACCCAGCAGGGCCAGGATGAGAGCCGAGTCTGTCTCCTGTCCCTGTGCTCCTTTCTTCACACCTACGTCCATTTCTGATCTGTGTGACAGACCTGGACGGTGGCAGGTGCGCCTCACCAGGACGTCAGCTCCGTGAGCAAAGGGTGGTGTCTGTCCTTGTCCATCTTGTACGCACCATGCCTGAGTCAGCTCCAGGGACAGTAAAGCACAGGTGGAAGGAAGGAAGGAATGAACGGGTCCCTGCTGTCATCACACTCTTCTCCAGAGAGGAGCCCTGACCCCATCTGTGGGGCTCTGATTCCCAGCTGAGTACAGGAGATGAGAACGGAGACGATGTTTGCGAGTGCTCTCGACCAGGCCACGGACAGCTCCCCACTCCACGGGCCTTCCCTGCAGAGACCCCTGCAAAGGCGGGAGAGGTTCCATGCCATCTCCTGGGCCACACTGAGGAGCAGGGGACCTGCTGGAGACCCTGGCATCACATGCAGATGTCAGTGCCCCTGTCCAGCTGGGTGACCTCAGGGCTGGAGAACTCATTTTCCCCGGCATGCCTCAGGTTCTGGGAGGTTCCACAGCAGCCAGCAGGTTTCAAGAACCAGCACGTTCTTTCCAAGAAGAGTCGGCTTTCGTCATTCACTGGGGGGCGAAGTGGAAATGCACTCCCTCCAGCAGCCACAAGGTGGAACGCACTGGCTTTCCCAGCAACACCGGAGGTTTGTGACAGCCCGTGAGGAGATTCCGGGAGGCAGGCTGACGTAGTTGTAGTCTTAGCAGTGGAGGATGATAGGGGCCTGCAAAAACAGTCCCTGCTGAGAGAGGGGGGTGTTCGTGTGTGGGGGCAGGGGGCACCTGAGCCAGCAGCACAGCAGATCTCAGGGAATGCTTCTCTTCCCAGAATTCCTACATTTTCCAGGTTGAGAGGCAGGGCAGGGAAGAGAATGCTGGGCTTGTTTCTTCTGTGACCAAGGAAGGAGTTCTACAGTTCCATGAGGAGCTCGTCTAAATGGCGCGAGGAGCAGACAGTCGGGTTCCTGGTTTATTTATCTCCCTTTTTTCTTCTTTTGGCCAGTGTCAAAATTTGGGGGTTTGAAAGGAGAAACAAGGGCCAGGAAGGGCAGAAAATAGTTTCAAGTGATCAGAGAAAAGGACAATCCGAGGCACGGGACCCATGGTCACAGGGTCAGCATTTTGTTTTTTTAACGAAGAACACTAGTCCTTTGGTTTCTGGAGTTGGAATGCTGGACACCTGGTAGATGACTCAGTCTTCTGCTAAGATTTCCCCTTATTTAGTGTGGATAGCTTTCTCTTGCTTTCCTTCTGGGTTGGATTTTTAAAATGCTGGGCTTGTTTCTTCTGTGACCAAGGAAGGAGTTCTACAGTTCCATGAGGAGCTCGTCTAAATGGCGCGAGGAGCAGACAGTCGGGTTCCTGGTTTACTTATCTCCCTTTTTTCTTCTTTTGGCCAGTGTCAAAATTTGGGGGTTTGAAAGGAGAAACAAGGGCCAGGAAGGGCAGAAAATAGTTTCAAGTGATCAGAGAAAAGGACAATCCGAGGCACGGGACCCATGGTCACAGGGTCAGCATTTTGTTTTTTAACGAAGAACACTAGTCCTTTGGTTTCTGGAGTTGGAATGCTGGCCACCTGGTAGATGACTCAGTCTTCTGCTAAGATTTCCCCTTATTTAGTGTGGATAGCTTTCTCTTGCTTTCCTTCTGGGTTGGATTTTTAAAACGTCATTTCATATGCAAAGTACAGTCAATGAGCGATGCTCAAATGATTTGTGCGTCCAAGAAAGCAGGACTGGATTCTTAAGCAATGCAAGATGGGTGGAGGATTCTGTTCTGGGACACTTAGTCACTGGAGACAGGGTCACAGGACTCCTAGACTTAGGACTCAGCCATATGGGGAAGGGAAAAAGAGCCTAGAGCATTTTGGGAGTAGGACGTGATGGGGGTGGGGAAGAGAGAGTAGTCAGGCCATCCTGAGAGCGGGGCCCTACCGCAGCGTCCTCAGTCAGCTATTTACCAAGCCAGATGTGCCGAGGGTTGCCTCTACTGGCAACTGGGGTGAACGCTTAGGTTTCTTAAGATCACAGGGCTTAATGAAATAATCATGCTTTCTGGGGAGAAAGCAAAGTGACAGAAAGTTTTCCTCTCTGTCTCCTACTCTTGCCATCCACGTCTCTCCTCTGCCTTTCTAAACTGAACTGATTTAATTACATCGAAATGCATGAAAAGCCTTTGATAAAATAATACTAATAAGAACCAATTAATTTGGGATTTGCGATAATTCCAACAGGGGCTAGGCTGTAGTTACCTTTGTATTATCAGATAAATAGGTCTTCAAAGCAAATGAACAGCGTAAAAAGATCCCAGAGGAAATATTTATGAGAACAAAGTATTCTCTAATGTTTTAGCGATATCCAATTGAATAGCCACAATTGCCAATGGAACTCGTTCTTATCAATAAAGAGAGATCATCAGGTCTCCATTCGGGCACACCATGGGTTAAGCTGATCCAAGCATTAGTTAATAACACTTCTAGAGAGGTCCGGGTTCATGCCCCCAACTATGCCTCGAGCAGGGCTTTCTGATGTGGACCAAGGACAAACCAGGGGCAAAAGAGGCACAGGATGGAACTTCTGGGAGAAGATCAAAGAGCTGAAGGGCCTCCTCTTCCTCTTCTCAATGCCTCCTTCTTCTCCCATGGTCCTGGCGTGGCTGGAAGGTCTGGAGCTGCCTCTTACTTGGGCAAAGTATTGCCATCCTTATAAGAAGGAGTCTGCCCCGGATGGGGGCAGGGCTTGGCTTTTTTTCCAGGCCATCAGGAATCCTCAGGGTGCAGAGATAGTCTAGCCCAGCCTTCTGGAGCTGGCAACCCAGAGGTCTTGGGAGCTGCCAATAAAGAGTGTTACTTTGAACCATTTTTTTCCACGTCAGCCTGAGACCTGAGCGTTGCCTGGCTGCTGCAGTGGTTAAATGCACTGATCCTGACGTCGAGCTGGCCTGGTCTAAATCCCGGATGCCGTGGTTTCCCCACTTGTCTGTAGATTGGGGTTAATAACAGCAGCTCCACCTCATATAGTTATTGTGAGGATTAAACGTATTACTATTCTTAAAGTGCTTGGATACCACTTGCCACATAGTGAGTACTAAATAAATGTTGAATGCATAACAGTGTTATGTATGCTGGAATGTGGCAACACTTCAATATTTAATCTTTGGACAAAATTTTTGCAAAACTAACTGGCCTTATCTCCCTTCAATAATAGAAAACAATAATGTTTAAAGGTACATGACACGTATGCAGATAAATGCTAAAAATTTTAACACAGGCCAAACGTCTATATATGCACTGAGAAATGAAATGGATCCAGAACCTTTTAGGTGCAAGTGAAAAAAAAAAAGATTATTTCTCTGCTCATGTTTTAAAATGTAAAATAGAATGTTGATTTTCTGGGGGGATGTTTGCATTATCATTCCTTTATTTCCCCCAAATGCCCCATCATTGTTCAAGGCTTAACTCAGTCCTTTCCCTCCTTAATTTTTTTCTGCAAATTTTCACTGCAATTCACTTCTTAATGCAATTGGATTCCTCAATTTAAAACCATATTAAGATAACGGGTGCTAAAGTACAACCAGGCTTATTTTTAACTGCATCGAAGACGCTGAAGTACTATGAAAAATCAAGAATGGTTCTGCTGCTCCACTATTAGACTGCAGCTCAGACCGAAATAGACTAGCACTGGGCTCTTCACCCTGCCACCACTATAATTAGCTTGTCTGCAGCTAGAAGGGAGAAAAAAATTACACCACCACTTAAAGTGCTGATAGCTAACCCATTTTTGTCTTTTCTGGGCCCCTTTTGTGAGTAAACCACCAAGTGTTCTGCTGGCATTCATGAAATCATACTTGCTCTCCCACACGATGTCCATCGGGGCCAAGACCATCATCTTGACAATGCAAATTGGGTAACAAAAGCTTTACATTCACCTTTTCCTCTGGGAATACTCTCTTGCTAACAGCCTTTTCCCAACCCCACCTGTTTACAGAATGATCTGGACCTCGCCACAGGACTTCCTGGTGGATGAGAATGGTACTCTGCCATCTTTGTGCCCCAGGATGGGAGGCAGGCAACGAGGCACCAGGGAACCACCAGGATTACAAAGAATGAAATCCCAACATACTTTCTTTGCTGTCGATATCCAGATATGTCTAGAAGGGTTTTCCGAGGGAAAGACCGAAAGAGCTTCTGCACCTGCTGTTTCCATGACAACAATCTTTTTTTCTGTGTCTCTGTAAATGCCTGCAAAAACAAACAGGACTTTTAAATGGGTGACGCAGCCTGGCATTAGAGAGAGAAACATACAATTAATAGGAGAAAACATCGGAGTCTCAGCAGTTGCTTTTGCTTCACCTGTTTCCACCCTGGTCCAAACAGCAGTGAGTTTAATTTGAGAGCTGTCTGGACTGACAATCCAGGTTGTCTGACATTGGAGGTACCGGGGAAGGGACATGCATTAAGCTTTTGACAACCTTCATTTTTGGGTGCATTTCTGGAAGATCCATATCCACCTTCTCCCTCTTCCTGACTCCATTCTGGACTCTACTTATTAACTAAGAATGAATTGCAAAATTGATTGTTGAATTCTCTGTCTTTTGCAGGTCCCCTCTATTTTCATAATCAATGGAAATTCTAACCCACTCCAAAAATCAATCAGCTTGATGGCGTGTGGTCACCCTGGCATGGCGTGCCGAGCTTCAGAAAACAGAACATATCCTCTGGACGCTGGGGGGCTTTATTCAGAAAGCTCCAGGTAAGGGGACCTGTGCCTATAAAAACCCATGTACTAGTCCCGACCAAAACATCTAAACACTAGGAAAATGAGTAGATATGATCCCTTCTCAAGTCTTTTCCAGTGAAAGCAGATGGGGATGTTTTGCCTTCTGCCCTGTTGTAACACACTTGCGTCTCTACTGCGAGTCGTTGTACTCACCACAGCCCCAGGAAGGACTGTGGCTGTACAGGGAGTTACAAGTCCCCACGACGGGGACTTCAAATTCATAATCAGAATCATCCAAGGAAACTGTTAAAATGCAGGTCCCCAGCCCCCACCCAGAGCCTGAATTAGATCTGGAGGGGTGTTGAGGGAGTTTGTGTTTGGGGCAAGTGCCCTGATTCTTCTTCAGGTAGACCATGGACATGTGTGTTTTAGATGGAGAGGGCCCATGTCATCTATAAAGCCCTGTCAAGTGCCTAACTGTGGCCTGCACACATGCCAGGAAAACCCGTCAGAGCTGACTGACCAGTAACATCAATGGAGGTAACGTTTCCAGGAGCTTCCATCAGTAAGGCACGGAATCCCTTAAGCAGTAATAACATACTACTTAGAGTAATAGGCTAAATAACTAGTTTCCATAAAGAAAACAGATTCCTTAAACAAAGAGAAACAGAGCCAGCTTAATTTTCTCCTGATGATGCTTAATCATTAAAGGAGAGGTCTGTAGACAAAAGCAAAATGATGTTGGGCAGGCAGATGGATAGTGGTTAGAGTACTGGACTCCCACATGGCAGATCACAGTTCGAGTCCAGGACCTGGCGGCTTGCTTTCTTACTTTCTCTCTTTCTGTTTGGCCAAGTTAATAATAATGATAATGATAATAAATAATTTTTAAAAAGGCAAAAAGATGTTAATCATTTCATGGAAAACATTACTGATGACTTGCAGGCTCCTTCCTCCTGGCGACCTTAGCCAGAAGCCATGAAGGACACTTATCAAAGAGGACTGCTTAGCTGCAGGAAGCAGCATCCCGTTACGGAAAGCCACGTGAGCAGATGGTCTCACAGCTAAGACGTGAGGATGAGGGTCTCTTCTGTGGTCCCTCTCATTTGCTGGTGATGCTCGCTAAGCGTCCAACTGTATGCAAACACCTCTGCAAACCGGGTCAAAGGCAGACGTTTCTGCCGAACTAATAGGACAGGACAGAGCCTGCTTTCGCCTGGCTCACTCAGCCAAGTGCGAGTGCGGATGAGATGCGAGTACCCTGTCAAGAGGAGCTGGAGAGGAGAGCCAGGGCGTCAGAGGAAGGTTCTGTAGGCAGAAGGGCCAGGGCTCAAATCCCTGAACTGAAACCCTATGCAAATTCCTCGACCCAAGACTCAGTTCCTTCTAGGAAACGTGAGGGTAAGAATAGCTCTCTCAAAGGGGTGCTATGAGGCAAAATGAGGTTTTACATGAAAAGCACTTGGAATATTCAGAATTCGCCTGGTTTAGAGAAGGTTTGATACATGCTGTCTCCAGAAGCTATCATCCAGGTTTTCTGGTGGTGGTGTAAGGGTGTTTGTCACATTCAATAGCACAAATGCAATGGCCTCAAGGTCTTAAAACTATTGGTCTTCAGAAAAGTCATGACCTATTTTTCTGTTTTTCTATGTAAAAATACATTACGACTTTTCCAACGACCCAATGCAATACCAAGCTGGTTTGGAGCCAGCCTGCAGGACAACTGACTTGAGTTTCTGAGTGACAAAGGACTCAATGATTCGCTTTATAGATGTGCTTCCAAGGACATCATACCATACACATGCAACAACATCTCCCACGGTGGCAAACAAGCATCTAAGGAGATGGGGAGGTCACCCGCAGAGAGGTCAGCTCATTCACACAGTACTGGGGCACCCCGAGGGTCTCCGGAGGGGCACACTCTGCAGTGCTCCTCAGCTGGGAGGCGGGCGAGCCAGCCAGCGCTGTCGTTGCTGGCTTCAGAGCGTGAGAGGGTGAGTCAAAGCTAGCTGGTCATCACGTGCATGACGATAAAGCACTGAAAAGGTCACCCCCACGTGGGCACACAGGAGGATCCACCACTAGCTGCCATGCCTGTTGTCACCACAGCCCCCTCCGCAGGTGACCTGGGTTGGGCTGGGAGCAGCTTGCTTGGGGAGGGCAAGGGAAGGTTCCACACCTAACAGACAGTTCAGACACCGCCAGCCAGCCGCTTCAGAGTCCTCTGTCCCAGTCTGTTTGGAGGGAGGGGTCTGAACATGTCCTGTAGTTTATGTGGCTGGAATAAAAGGCTCATAAAGGGGCAGGAAACCATCTTCCCAGAACCAGCTCAAAACAGTAAAGAGGCGGAAAGCCTCAGATTTTAACCAGGAGTCTAGCTGACTGGTCTCAGCAGTACAGTGCGGAAGTTTCCTGTCCTCCCTCTTGCCACCGCCGAGTCAGCTGGGCCCTTCATTCCAGGAGGAAGGGCGGCGTCTGGGCTTAGTCAACACCTTCCCACTTCCAGGCAGCGGAGGCCCGCGAGCCTGGGCTGTGAAAGGCAGACCTGTGTCGCCAAGCCCAGGCTGACCTCCGTCCAGGATGAGCCTGTGCGCCAGGGCAGCCTCATTGGGCGGGGTGCTCCCACAGGGTAACCCGAGGCTGCAGAAACTTAGGCAGGCGCTTTCGTCTTTCTCAGACTAAAATAATAAAATGCCTTGGACGACCTCCTCCCTTCCAAAGCAGAGTATAGGCCAGTCCCTCGTAACGTGACTGCAGGCAGCCGACAGGTTGTGGGCCCCTTCCTGCCCATCGCTGGAGCTCCTGGACTGCGATCAATAGGGGGTGAGGCCGCCTGGTGCCATCTTTGTGCGGCATCACTTGAGGCTACCAGGGAGGTAAAGGCCAAGAACTGCTCCAGCCTGGGTGCCCAGGGAAGCGCACGAGACAGCAGGAAGGAAGGGTGTGAGCCTGGGCTGAAGGCTGGGCAGGAGTAGACCAATAACGAAGCTAGAAGCTGTGTTGTTCAGCTAACACTGCTGGGGGACTCGCTGCCCTGTCACCCGCCCTCACTGGCTTGAGGCTGGCTTGAGGTGAGGAGGAAGGAGCCTGGTCTTCCAGTAGTAGAAGCCTCAGTGCGGTGAGTGGGAGTGGGAGAGGGAGTGAGGGCTTGCTTTTTCATAACCCTACCCCACCCACAAATGTCCTCCTCCTCAGCAAATGGAGCCCTCCCGACTTACCCTGAGCCTCCTCACCCAGACTGTCCCACCAAGACCCACCAAGACTCTTAACTGCCCAAGGTCTCCATGTGGACAGGCTGCTGTGAGGCGCTGGCTGGTGAGGGTCCAGCGCTCCTGTGTGCCCACGTGGGGGTGACCTTTTCAGTGCTTTATCGTCATGCACGTGATGACCAGCTAGCTTTGACTCACCCTCTCACGCACTCTCACACCTTAGCTACCTGGCTAGGGACTGGCCTGGGTGCTCTATAAGTACCGATGGCACCAGTGCGTTGTGACAGTCTCCAGTGTCCTCTTTCTGCTGTTTTCTGCTGGCCTAAACAGGTGCAGGATCGGGACTGGATGTTGGAAAGGCATGGTGGGGGCGGGAGTCGGGGCTGGGGAGTGTATGGGGAGTGCCTGTCCCTTCCTGAAACACACACAAACAAGTCCTTCAGTATAGGCTTCAGCCATCATCGGTGTGCCTGGGGGGCTCTGGGGATGCCATTATAGAGAAAAAATATATTGATGTAACTTTTCTTTTTTTTTTTTTTTTTCAGTGAAAAATCTAGTAACTTGGGATAGCTGACTATTTCAGAGGCTGGTCTGTCCGAGCTCCCAGCCTGGACAGCTCATCACTGTGCCAGCACGGGCGGGAGTGACCTGGGCACACAAACATTCACACTGCCGGGAGGAACCCCCAGAAATGAGGGTTTGGGGAGTGGGGAGGGAGTGGCCGGGATGGAATCCCCTTGGGAGGCTGTGTGAGGGCCTCAGAACTGAGTGAGACCTTCCACAGCCAGTGGTGGTGTGGCGGGTGGGGAGGGGGGGGGGCCTGTACCACCATATTCTCACAACAAAATCCTCCAAGACCTCGCCCTGCTGGGTCTATCTGGGCCTCGGGTTTCTTTAGCCTAGACTTTGTCTCCATAACTCTCTGCACGGCTGGACACTGCCTAAGGAGCTCCTGAAATCCTGGGTCTCAGGCACCCGCCCCTCGCATGGCCCTCAGGGTCTGCCTTGCTCTGTACCTGAGGCTGTGCTGAGGGGCTGGCAGGTACACCTCGCCCCTTGCCCGCCTCAGTCGTCCACCCAAAGGACACGTGGCAGCTATGCTTCTCATCAAAACCAGACCAAAACAAACAGAATAGCCCCTGGTACACGACGTGCACACACAAGTGCACACACAATGTACGTGCACACACACATTATTTCTTTGGCCTGCTCTTTCTCCCTGTCCCCTCTCTCCCCCTCCAGTTTCCCAGAGCTAAAAGGTAAAATGTTTCAACACAAAATTTGAAAAAGACTTGAAAATGCCCAAGGTTAGCTATGAGGTTCTGTGTGAGGCACCCCAGGTCTGGTCACTGGGGGATTCTTCTGGAGTCAGAAGTTCTCTCAAGCATCCCCCTCCCATCAGGGTTTTCGGGTTGGGCAAATCTTCGGACACCAAAGTGAACACGAGGGTGTGTTTAGGTCTGAGGCTGCCGCAGCCTGGTTCTGCCTGAGCTATTGCTAATGACCC